GTGAGTCGTTGGTCTTGTCGTTTTCTTTTGTGTCGCTTATTTCTTGTTGTAGCTCTGCGATAGTAGCCTCTGGCTCGTTGTGTGACGCTTGGTTCTCACGGTGTGTCGTGGCGCATTGTTCGGCCTGTGCTTGCAAGAATTCGGTCTGCGCGTGGTAGTGGAGTGCCTGTTCCGTAAGGCTCTCTAGTTGTTGCTGTCTTTGTTCGTTCTGTCTTGTCGTGTGCTCGGCATCTCGTCGTGCTTTGTCTTCTCGTCGCATTGCTGTTGCTTTGGCAGCTTGCATGCGTAGCTCTGCTTGTCATAGTGCTTGGTTCTGCTCCCGTGTCTCGTGGTAGTCATCGGGTAGGTGGTCGTTTGCTGCTTGTAGTTGTCGTATGCGCTCTCCTGCTGATTGTAGTTGTTGTGCTCTGGACTCCTTGTCCGTGTTTTGTTTTGCTGCTCGCAGCTTTGGTGGTCCATCCGTTAGCTTGGAGGTTTTCGCATGTTGCTTTGGGTAGTGCATTGAGCTTCAGTGTCTCGTCGTCGGTGTCGGTGCTAGGCATGGTCGCTTTGAGTGGTATTCATGGTTGTCGCACTTTGGGTGGGTGCCGAGCTGTACGTCTTGTGCCCGTGGTGCACGTGATTGTGGACTGGGTGTGTGTTGCCTTTTTTATCAGCACCTTTTCTAATTTGACGTAGATCTTGGTCCTGTGACTATTGTCTTCATGCTTCTGTTCGGCCTGCTTCAGGGTTGGTGCTGATATCGTTGTGCATGCTGCAGGGTGGTCCCTGGCTGTCGAATGTACTGTAGTGTTGCAGCTTCGGGTGTTGGGTCAAATAGCTGTCTCCTGGTGACCTCCAGTTCAGTGGCCTGCTTGTTTTCCCACATCCTTTAGTGCCAGAATATGCGCTGCGAGCGTCCTCGGTACTGCTGTCTTTGACGTGCTTCACGCTCCCACTGCAAGCGGTGTAGCTCCAGACGTGTCTTTGTGTAAGGCGTCGTTGTAGTAGGTTTTTGGCATGCTGTCGATCAGTGCCTGTTTCTCTCGTGTGGTGTATGCTATGTGCTCTGGGTTGCTTCAGAAACTAGGTTGTGGGACATAGTCGTTGTTCTTTGTTGGTGTAGATGGTGGTTGTGTTGGTTATGATTTTGGAGTGGAATTCCTTTGCTGTCTTGGAGTGTGAGGTTGCTGTGGCCAGTGTATGGTGTTGCCGTTGCTGCTTGTAATGTGTGTGTGTGTGTGTCAGCTGTGTGCTGCTGGTATTGCGGTTGTGAGGCAGGATCGTATTGAGTTGGTTGGGCGTATCCGTTGTGCCCAACAGGCTGCCAAGGTGAACTTGTGCTTTTGCTGTAGTGTTGTCGCTGCTGGTGTTTCCCTTTGCCTTTGCCTGTGGCTTTGGCCCGGGGAGCTTGTGTGTAGCTGTTCGGTTTGTATACTGGTTGTCTTTGTGGCTGTTGTGGCTTGGGGCTGCTATTGTGTTTGCTATTGTGTCGGTCGGTGGAGTAGGATTCGCGCTGAGGCTACCTGTAGTAGCATGCGTGTTGCTGTACGCTTCTCCCTCTCCCTGCAGTGCCAGGCAGGGTGGATCGAAGGCGACGAAGTCGTGGTGCAACTTGTGTGCGCGCAGGAGAGGAGGTAGATGTCGCAGCCGACGTGGTGTGTGTGTGTGTGCTGCCATACGTGGTAGTACAGGGTGGTGCAGCGTAACGCGGAAATGAGAGAACAGAAAGCAATCCTCCTCCTCCTCCTCCTCCTCCTCCTCCTCCTCCTCCTCCTCCTCCTCCTCCCCCTCCTGCCTCCTCCTCCTCCGCTTCATGCTCTTCCTCCTCACCGCAGGGTCTTAGCCCTCCTCCTGGCCCTCGCCCTCGTCCTCCCCATCCCTCCCCATTCCCCCCCTCCTCCCATTCCATCCGCCCCCTGCTTTTTTTACGTTACGCCGACATTAATCGAAGCGATCGCCGCGTCTGTTCGCGCCTGCTGCTACTGGGAGGAGGCGTAGGGAGGGGAGGGAGGAGCAGGTGGAGGAGGGGAACGGGTGGGGAGGAGGCGCAGAGAGGAGAGGATGGCGGAGAAAGAAGAGGAGGAGGAGGAGGAGGAGGAGGAGGAAGAGGAGGAGCAGGAGGAGGAGGAAGAGGAGAGGATGGTGGAGAAAGAGGAGGAGGAGGAGGAGGAGGAGGAGGAGGAGGAGGAGGAGGAGGAGGAGGAGGACCCCCTCTCCTCCCCGAGGAGGCCGCGGTGCCGCCTCCTGATCGGCAGGGCCGGGAGGCCCCAGCCCTGGCCAGCAGGGCGGCGCGCGCCGGAGAGGCCGCCGCCGAGGAGAGCACCCGCCGGCCGGGCGCCGAGGAGGGGCCGCTTGGGCGTTGCGTAATGGGGGGGTCATAAATGGGGGGTTGGTGAAGGTGGTCCGAAAAGGTACCCAAACGGTACCTAAACGAGCCCCCTGGGGGTCCAGAGGGGCCCGAAAGGGGCACGAAAGGGGACCGTTTCTGACCCCCCCATTGATGACCCCCCCATCAAGCCACGCCCAAGCCGCGGAGGCCTGGGGGGCTCGGAGGGGGGCCTGAGAGGATGTGGATCGGGCGAGGGGGGGGCAAAACGACGCGAGGGTCGGGACAAAATCGGATCGGGACAACTCGAAATCTCTGAGAATCGGCGGGTTTGGAGGATGTAGTGGGCGCCGCGGCCGCTCCAGAGCGTTCCGGAACGCTCTGAGAGCGCTCCGGAACGCTCTGGAGCGATTTATCCCGATCCTAGCCCTGTTTAGCCTGAGAGGATGTGGATCGGGCGAGGGGGGGGTCCTCAGAGGGAACCCTCAAGCAGTGGCGAAGCGTCCTGGCTCGCCTGGAGCCCTGCCAGACACTGTTCAAAAAACCTTTTTTTGTGGCTTCCACGGGATGTTCTCAGGACATGTCTCGTTGAGATTGTCTTGTTTTAGCACATCGGGCTTATGTTCTAAGAACATTGTTTTTGTTATTCTAGCATTTTCGGGTTCTAAGGACATTTCGTGGTAGGCCAACAGAAATGCTGGGACGGTCGGTCCCTGCTCAAATCGGGCGAGAGGGGGCCTCAGAGGGAACACGTGCGCTCCAGCACCGCCAGGGTCTAGGAGCTGGGGCGTCAGTGCACCGAGCCCTTCGGCCGACCTGACGAGTCGGTGCCTGCGTCGAGCCCCGCCCATCCAAGGGGGCAAAGGTACCGCTGCCGCTGCCATTCCTCCGTCTTTGCCTCTCCTGGGGGGCCCTCGTCGCCACGGATGGATGCGCCTCGACGTCCTGGTCCGAGCGCGCCCCGGGAGGCGCCCCGGGAGAAGGCGGCAGCGGAATCCCTCGTTTCCCGGGGGAGGGGGCCGGAGGGGCCAGTTGGGGGCCAGGAGCAGGGGCCGTGGAGGATCGGGCGAGAGTCAGGAGGGAAAGAAACACACAGACACAACGAATCGTCGACTCCCAGGAAAATGTAGGAAACTATGGGAATTGGGGGGGGAAGGCAAAAACCCAGAAACTGTGGGAGAATATGGGGGAATCATTTTATTTGTGTGTATTCATGTGTGTCCCCGGGCCCCTTGAGAGAGGAGGGCCAGAGGGGAGCCACGAAGAGCGAGGGGCGCATCGGGCGAGCGCGGGAGAATCCAGGAGTGCCCGGAGGCGGCGACGGGCCGGGGAGGGGGGGAGGAGGACGATGGCGGCGGCGGCGAGGGCGGCGAGCTGCGACGAGGGGGTGGTCGAGGGCGCGGCACATCTCTCTCCCTCGACCCGCCCCTGGCGGTCGGCGCTCCCTCGCCCGCCCCTTCCCCCCCCCTTTCAGCTGGGACTCAGGTGTGGTCAGAGGTGGTATCTGTTCACATCAGTGTGGGCAGGTCAGCTGTCAGCCAGGGCGCGGTTCCTATCGAGACGCTTCTCTGCGTACACGTTGTGGCTCAAAGAGAGACGTCTCTTTTCTCTCTCCGCCCTGGCAGCGGAGCGTGGCCTTTCGGCCAGCGCGCGCGGCCCCGCCAGGCCCGGCATCACGATAGACGTCGCGAAACTGACTTACGACCAGCAAAGCAGGAACGGGCAGTTCCTGAACGCTTACCTCGAAAAGGTGAGCAATTCCGAACAGCAGGTGCTCGAGGATCTCAAGATCCACACCCGCATCGGCAGCGATCTCGCCGAGGAGCCCTAGTTCTCCTCGCCTGCTGTCTGGCTACACCACACCAGGTAAAGTACGACGGACATCCACTTGCAGAAGGTTATCTTCACGCAGGACAAGCGTCCAGCACCATTGCTAGATATTTCGTTGGTGGTCAACTACCCTTGGAAGCGAACGCACGGCAGACGCCCCCCGGGTGGAAACCGGGTACCGCGAAGTATGGCATCAAAAAATATATTCCAAATTTGAGTTGATGGTGGAGGACAGAGAACGTCGAGAACGAAAGCGTGGCAGCATGTCTTGTCCTTCATCGGATTCAAGGTGGAGCTTTCAAACAAGCATTGAGATTCAATCTAATTCGAGGTGGAGTTGAATATGTTGGCGAGAATGCCTTTGCCCCAGTTAGGATTCCCGAGGATGCGGCCATCAACGTGCAAGCCCAACCATCTGGCCGCTTGTCCACGAGATGGCCCACTGCGGAATAGGGTCTTCACGAACAGGATCCAGTAGGAGATCCATTGGACAAGCTCGTCAGTTATAAGAAAGGGCAGCGCGACCTTCTGCAATGCATATCGGGCTTCGAGCTGGCCTACGATGAGGTTCGCGATCAGGTGGGAGTGACAATCAACGCAGTTGGACGGAGCTACTTGTTACTTCAGGGCTGTGATCTGGCGCCCAAACGAATAGACGACATCAAGTTGAATGTCGACGGCGACCTGAACCGCCACGGAGAGATCAAGGCCATCCTGTCCCACCTTGCCAAACAGCCCCAAGCGCAGAACAGTCCAGAGCAGTAAGACGGCGACTGGCGATGATTACCATGAATATGATAAAGGTTACAATGACAGTCTTGGCAATTGGCATTACTATTGCGATGGCGACTGATGGGGCGAGGATCAGTGCGACTCTGACGATGGCTACGATCAAGAGAATTGCGAAAGTTACAAGGGCTCTGGCAAGAGGAATCCCGGCAACTGCTCCAAGTGTGGCTCGAAGCGGCACAGCACGGCCGATTGTCCGGCGATCGACCAGGACGAAGACAATTCATCGGCAAACGCGCAAGAGAAGCTACGCGACAAGAGTCACCGAGACAAAGGAAGAGGCAAGTACCGCGGAATGGGTAAGAGCAACCACGACGGCGACAAGGTTAAGGCAAAGGCAAGTACGGTGGCGAAAGCAAAGGACGCTGCAACGGACGCACAGGCAAACGCTACGGTAAAGGCAGTCGCCGAGACCACTGCGAGGATGACTACGACGACGAGGACAACTACGAGGACGGCGGGTGGGGCATGGGCAATTCCGGCAACTGGTACCACGCCGAGGCTGGTTTCAATTCCAGAAGAAGCACGTTCAGCTCGTGGACCGCGACAACTACGACTACCTTCGCGTCGAGATTGACACCCCACTGTCGAAAGGCGCAGCATCATGGTCACCAATACAGACGGCGCAATCTTACTGCATGGACGAGCAAAAGTCACCACCGAAGCAAAGCTCCATGGATCAGCGCGACGCGGGCAACATTCCGAGGGCACCGAAGCCTACGACATCGAGGGCGTCACCAGGCGGACCGGCTTCTGCAGGCAGGCCTTCTTCATTGACACCCAGTTTGAGTTTCTTGGGCGCACATAAGAGTCTACCCGTTCATGAGGAACCTGAACCAAGTAACATCAAGCGCGGAGTTGTTCCTGGAGGTCCGGAGTTTCTGGTTCGAAACATTGAGAAGTCTGAGAACGGGCATTTCCCGGCAGGCGAGATGAACCTCGCGAGCTATCGCATGGTGAGAGGGCGGAGACGATGTGGATTTCTGCGCGATCCAGGCGCTGCAACCGGCATCGTCGACACAGACGCAGTGCGCGAGTGCCGCCGCGACGCGAATCCCAGCGCCACCGTCGAGGCGCGGCCAACCGGGTCAAAGCTCGCGGGCGTTGACGGAAAGCCGACGCCAGGCGTCGGAAATGCAGTCTTGTCGTTGACGATTGCAGTTCTCAATGGGGCGACTTTCGCCGGCGACGTGATTGGCGATGCGGGCCCTTTCTGTCTCGGCATTATGCCGCCTCGGGCTTCCGTGAGATATCGCGCCGCTGTGGTCGCCAATGCCAATCAGATGGCGATGGCATCTTGGCGCTGTCTCCGCGGGCTCTGGCCCGGGTGGCGGCGAACGGAAACTTATCCTGTAGATCAGATTGTTCTTCGTGGAACTTGGGCGCTATATCGCGCCAGTTGACGATGGCGCAGCAAAGGAAGGAACCGACCAGAAGCACTTGCGCGAACGCGTGATGCGGATCATCAATTGGTTCGCGAGTCCCAGGCCTTCCTCGTCGCCGCCCAGATCTCCCGCGGTGGACTTCCATCAGGACGAGACACCCTTGGACACTGGCACCGGCGCGAAAGCTTCAGGTGACAAACAGGAGACTCCTTTTTGCGTTTTCAGGAATTGAGCAGCAGCATCCAGAACCCCGCGCAGCACGCGCAGCAGAACGAGAAACCCATCGGGGGATGCCTAGCTCCAGCGACGACGACGCCATCCGAATCGGCATCACCTCTTCCTCCAGCGCCTATCCCGGAACATGCTTTTTCGGGAGGGGGCGATCACAAGGGCGCGGCGTTTCTGGACGCGCTGGAGTCAATCCAAGGCCCCCGCTAACTGCTGCGACGCGTTCTCAGACGACCTCGGCGGTCAGCAGATATCGAGATATCGCAAGAATTGTTCAAGGAGTTCCTGAGAGGTTGTGCGGCCGTTCAAAACTGCTGCTCGTTCCGCCGAGGAACGCGCCGCAGTTTTTGCTGCACTTGACCGAGAAGAACATCGCGAGCGTGGACTTGCAGAAGCACTTCAGCGGCAGCGCGACCTGACATCGCGGGCTTGTCGCAGCGGCGTGCCAGCGTAATTCCCCGCGGACATGAGACGCGGCTGGGGCGTGGGATGGCTTGACCATCAGAACAGCACCAACACCTTCAACAAGACGATCAATACCGGCATCGAGTTTTTCTCCTGCGCGTGCGCCCTGGTCTTTGGCACGTGCAGCTGCAGATTCTGTGCTGAAAGCGGAAGCTAGGATCAAGGTCCAGCCGGTTTTCATTGGGTTGCGGACGCCTGCAAGCAGGCGAAGACCGACCACGCGGACTACATCGCGGAGAACCCCACCAAGGGCAAGATCTGAGAATCACCGCCCCGCCTGCAGCTCAATGAAGATATCGGCGCTGACGCAACGTCTGCGATCAGTGTCCGCATGGTCTTCAGGACGCAGATGGCGCGCCGATTCAACAGGGAACGGCGTTCGCATCGTCTTTTCGATTCAAGCGCGCCGCCCTGGTGCACAGGTGCGCGCGGCCCTGCGCCCGGCTAGTCGGAGGTGCCCAGACGACGAAAATTCAGATATATTCCGAGAGGTCGTGCACTAACCTGCCCCGAGACGTTCTTCGACGACTGGGGCTGACTTCGACAGGGCCCCAGCTTTGGCAGCAACTTCAGCTCCCAAACTGATCATCCAGATCTGATATTGGACCTGTGCACGATGCAAGCATGGCAGCATTGCTACCGCGCCGCATGGGCGGACGAAAGGGGCGCAGGTTCGACCCTAATCGCGCGCCTCCAGCAGCCCCAGGCCCAGTTCCATCAGTTCCAGCAGCAGCGCCACCAGAACCGCGGGAGGGGGCGCCAGAACAATCAGCGCCAGAACAATCAGCACAGGGGCGACCAGCAGTTCAGCACGATGAAGCAGCACAACCATGATAAGGAGTCAAAGCGCCACTGGAACCACCTCCCGGGCTAGCTCCACCCTGGCAGGCCTCGCAGGAGAGGACGAGTTGCGAGGGCGACGCCGCGGGCTGGCCCGGCATCTCCCAGGACAGCCCTTGGAGAATGTTGACCATCAAACCCATCTTTTTCAAGCGTCAACTCGAAGACGCGGCCGCATAACCAGCAAGGTTGGCGCTACTGTTGGGATTACATGTTAAGCTCTGGCATGCGACTCCACATGATGGCTCGACTGTTATCGGCTCCTGGAGTTTCGCCCGACATCATCATGCTGGCGCCGAGAGTGCGGTCTGATCTCTGCGGCTCGCGTCGCAAGTGCGCTCGTCGATTGCATCGCCCAGCATGTCGTGCACATCTTGCGATGAGATCGAATGTGCGTTTGCAGGGGGATATGTTCTTTCTCTGGGATCAGAGATGGCTCATCTTGGTTGATGAACGCATTCGGTGCAAGGTAACAGGCACGCTCGCCGCCATGACTGGACCAGAATATCTTCGTGGATTATGTGAGCACTAGGTCAGATTCTTCGGCCCACTGGGATGTTTTGTGCCAGATCAAGAGGGCCCCCATCACTGGCGATCTCGTGGGAACAGCTCTCGATCGATATCCAATCGAGCGCGAGCCCGCCGTCGCCGGCCCGAAAAGGGGCCAGCGCGCCACGACGAGCCCGGTGGTATGTCTCGCACGGGCGACGAAGCCCACAGCTCTCAAGAATAAGGCAGATGCCCGGCGAGACGGACTCGACATGTCGGACGAAACCATCATGCACGAGTCTTGCATGGCGCAGAACCTCGCGCTCAACTACTGCAGCAGCGCGCGGGCCAACGCGCTGCCGGGTCTCACGCCTCGGGACTTCTTATGGCGGCGAAGCTTTGACGGTCACCTCTGTCGGAGACCCGCTGGATATCTCGCCCGACGCGGTCGAGTCCAAAATTCGGATGCTACCGCGGACAAAGCAGCGCGCGCTGAAGGCAGTGGTGGAGGAGCGCGTCGCCGTCGCCGACCAACCGATCGAGACCCTAGCGATAGAACATGGAGATGCTCAAGATTGGCGATCACCTTGGCTTCTGCCGGACACCCGACAAGAATATCCTGGAAGGCTGGCGCATCCCACGTGCCCTTCTCCACTTGAAGGCGACCAGTGCGATCGTGATCTGGAACGGCTATGCGTGCATTGTGCCTCTACGTCGCTGGTGCCCACGCCGGCCTCTCGTCGGCTGGGTCACCAGCACGGTGGAGCAGCGCGCCCTCGCCCGCGACATGATCCACCTGGTGACGGACTACGTGGACATACTCGACATCGTCGATGGCGCGACCCCCTTCGAACTTCACGTGGTCGGCGCGATCATCGGCGAGGACGGACTTCAACGCCGCGCGCTCGCGGACCTCCTCGCAGATCTTCCCGAGATCGGGCAACAGGCAGTTCAATATGCGGAGAGCGAGTGGTGCATCAAGATCGGCGGCGTCGTCTTCGGCAGGTGCGTTAAACCACTCCATGAGGTCAGTGGCGTGGCCTCTGGACATCGACTTATCTGGGACTGCGCGGGGCGTTCGCAATACATGACTCGAGATATCTCGCCTAACCGACAAGTCTTTCACACCCCGGCGGCTTTCTCGAATGTGAAGGACGCTGGCGCCTGCAGCATCATTTTCTACACCTTTCTGGCAGCATGAGATGACAGCGAGAGCAAGAAGCGTACGCTTCCCGACCTTTCGGACATCAGCATCGTCGGGTACGATTCATTGATGATCCTCTGTAGTGGCCCCACAGTCCACCAGTTGATCCTGGACCACAGCCACCTTCCGAGGACCAGCGGCCGGTCAAAGAAGTCCGACCTGAACCACCATCGAGATTACGACCATCGGGCACCGCCGCCGGTACCAGCAGTTCCAGCAGGCCCTCAGAGGTTCGACGTCAGCGACCGGGCCATGACGTGGCAGGAGGAAGGCGACAGCATCAGATGCCCATCAGGCATCCTGCCTCCACGACCTCCATTTCCACCGGCTCCTCCAGCACCACCGGCAGCGCCGATATTCGGACTCAAGACCCGAACTGGGTCATCCAGATCCGTTCGACATAGTTGATCATGGCATGATTGGTGGAGGAGAACACGTACTAGTAGGATCCGACGGCGGCATGAGCCAGGACGTGTCTCTTCCGGCTCAACGAGCGGTAAAGGATGAGGCTCACTTTGCAGCACCGCCGGCGATGCCATCATCAGGACCCATATCGGTACCAAGGACGTGGCAGAAGAAAATTAATCGACAGGAACTGAGCAGGTCGCCGCCCAGACAGCGAAATTAGCTTGGTACGCCAAGTCAGGTGGCAACACCACCGCGGACATCCACGGAACCAACCTGTCCGATTCTCAACCTCCAGCTCCTGCATGATCCACATCTCCTACGACGACAGCGCCAACGACGGGCGCCACCGCGGCAGCTGTCTCAGGACGCAGCCCGGCTAAGCCAACGTCACCGTTTCAGACCACGGATGCCCGCGATTCCAAGGTTCCTGCAGATGGCAACAGTGAAAGCAAGGAATGACCTTCACCAGCTGGCGCCGACGCTCCCGAGGAAGAAAAGAGCAACATCATGTGCGACGAATTTCCAGCGGGCGCGACTTTGCCGGCACCGGCGATCGATCGCGGCTCGCCCAAGGAGGACAATATTGCGACAGGCGCTCGACTGCCATCAGAATCATCGGAAGGGGCATCGACACCCCCGGCAGGCCCCCAAGCAGGCACCAAGAAACATGATCTGAGTCTAGAAGACCATCAGCAGATAAGAGGCTCGAGGCCATCGCCATCGCAGCCTCCAGAGAGCAAGGAAGCACGCCAACGATCTTCGTCTCTACCTCCAGAGTTGACGAAGTGAACTCTACCGCTGGTCGGTTGCGATTCAGGCACGTCGACTACGGCAACGGCCCCACCGCCGCTGAAAGACACCCAGAGGCCCAAGATACTCGAGGACTTCGTCGTCTTCGGCGATCAGCAGTTGGGCATATCACAAGGTCAAGGGAGGCACCTGGTTATCTCGTGCATGAAGTCTGAGGAGTTGGACGAGCACCAGCACATCATGGCGAGCATGGCGCAGGAAGTATCCGATCATCTTCGGCGGATGGACAGACGTTATCTGAATTGGTCAACCACCGAGGCGCACTGGGTCCTGCCGGGTCACTTCAAGGAGCATTGCACCTTCTACTTCGACCTGGAGAGCGGCGACGCCATCGATACGCCCAGTCCGACGACATTCCCCCGGAGGACGGCATCATCAAGTACTGGGACTTCGTCGAGGAGGCCGACATGATGGAGTCCAGATCGCTCATTAACAGCAACTGCTTCAAGGCCGTGCATCAGAATTACATGGGCTCCTCCAGCGTGATCGACGCGATGCGGGCCAGGCGCTGGGAGAGTATATACTGCGATAAGAACGAGGTCACGCACATCATCAAGTCTCGCCGCTGCGGCCGGGGCTTTCAAGACGCCCAGGAGAACGATGCGATGAGACGCTCGTCGACAGCATCACGTCTATCGCAGCGCATCATCGCCTCGCTGTTTCCATTGGAGAAGGCGCTGATGTTGGAAACGTGGGAAATTTCCACGGCACTCCACGGCGTTCGAGGAGCTTCGCAAGAAGGCGAAGCGCATGGGCATCGAAGTCACAGAGCAGCGGGAAGTGCATCTCAAGCCGCTAGCTCACGTCTGGCGCCATTTCAGGAACTACGAGAAGTCATCAAGAATCCAGAGCTGGATCTACCATTCTTCTTCCTGCAGCTCCTGAAGCCCATCTACGGCACCGTGGGCGCCCCATTGCTATGGCATTTGGCATTCTCATCTCCGCGATGGAAAGTCTGCCTGGTATTCAGTCGGTCTTCGATGATCATTTTCCACGTGGACCAAAGGTGGCTAGCTCATGATGGTTTGGACAGCTCACGTGGACAATATCACAGTATTTGCGAGGCTGGCTTGCTTATGCTGGAGCTTGACACAGGTGGAACAAGGATTTGGAACACAATCAAGCGACACCAGTTGCCATTCACGCATATGGGCATGAGCTATGAGAAGTTAGGCCCCAGGCACTTGTTCATCCACCGGCAGATCTACGCTGACGCGCTGAGGAGGATCCTCATCGAGCCGGCGCTGACGGACAGGATGGAGAAGGAGTGCGACAAGAAGCAGCAACACGACCTGAGGAGCGCCCTGCGCGGTGTGCTGCGGCTATGCCAAACGAGAGAGGACATCTATTGCGACGTGGTCCAATTGCAGCAACGTGTTCGGTAAAACCACCATCGGGCACCTAGGGCGAGATAACCTCACCATAGATCGAGCGCGACGGAACACGAAGATGGCAGGACTTCACTTTGCTCCTCTAGGTTATCCAGCGATATTGATATCAGTTGGAGACGCTAGTCATGGAGACACACAGACGCCCCATCCTCAAGAAGGCACATCAGTATGCATGATGGAGGGCCACGTGCATCATCTTCGAGTTCGTCGAGACCAAGTTCTTCCATAAGACGCTTGTATGATTGGTGGCACGCACCACGCAATACCATTGGCATCCGGCAAAGTGAAGAGGATCTCACACTCAACGTGTCGTGCAGAGACTAATGCCGGCTTTGAAGCAGAGCGCTGATCTTATTGCCTTTGACTCACGGAGATCATTACCTGCGCGGAGAAGCAGCACAAAAGGCAGCACATATGATGGAGATCTGTGACAGGAGTCTGCACCAAATACGATTGGACCATTGCACCGACCGCATGGATTTCTGGCAAGTGTGCTGTGTTATGAAACGTGTTCCCAATGACAAGGGATTAAGACTGGCAGTTCTACCAATGAGGGGGGAACGGCTATCAGGACGTACGCGCCACTTCCTCCACCTCCTGAGGGAGACCATGTTCGTGGACGGCCTGACCAAGTCTGGAGTGTTCGGCCTTTTAATGCAACACACGATGACAGGGAGGTGGAATTTCTAGGTTCCGCATAATAAGTTCGTGACGATGAGGACGATCATCGAGCCCAGGACCAGCAACGTCGAATCGGACCTTCTGGACCTCAAGGCTTGAGTGCCGCCCGGCTTTCCCTTTCTCTCGCCGCTACAGTCAAAACATCAGTGTAACGTTTGCTCTTAGCAGTGTAGTTGGCCAATACCAGATTGCAAGACATGTCAGAGTGAGGGGGCCGAACGGTCATTCATTGTCTTTGGGTGCGTGGCTGGATAAGGAACTCGTTGTGAGAATTCTGATTGTTGCGCTGTTAATGTCGATGTTGTAGTTGTTGAATGTTAGTTACTCAACAATTACTCTTGTTGGACCCCTTACAGGCGCCCTGGCGCTCTCGCCGAGGCGCCGGTTACATTTTCATTGGGAATGAGGCTCAGGCTCGAGCGTTTTGGGTGACCGCCAAAACCGGCCCCTCAACAACAGCAGCGCTCCCGTTCGAGACTTCCTTTTTTTTTACTCAGGGTTTGTGTTCTTGCTCGCCGCCGAGAGCCGCCGTCCTAACAAAGCCAGCGCTCCCACTCGAGACTTCCTCCCGTTTTACCTTGGACTGGCGCGCTAAATGTTCTCTCATCGGCGCCGCCCCAGGCAAGAACAACGCTCCCGCTCGAGGTTTCCTTCTTTCTTTACTCAAGGCGGTGCTCCTTTTTGCCGCCGAAAACCGCTGCCCCGACAAAACCAGCGCTCCCGCCCGAGACTTCCTTTAGTTTTCGCTGGATTGGCGCTTAATTTTCTTTTGAATTGGCGCCGTTCCCAGCAAGAACAACGCTCCCGATCGAGATTTCCTTGTATTTCTCCTCAGGACGGTGCTGTCCCTCGCCGCCGACAGCCCCCGTCCCGACAAAACCAGCGCTCCCGCCCGAGACCTCTTTCCGTGTTACGCTGGACTGGCGCCCTATTATTTTCAGCATTGGCGCCGCTCCCAGCAAGAACAATGCTCCCGCTCGAGATGTCTTGCCTTTTTCCTGAAAGAGGTGCTGTTCCTCGCCGCAGACAGCCCCCGTCCCGACAAAACCAGGGCTTCCGCTCGATGCATCCTCCCTTTTTGCTCAAGGCGGTGTTCCTCCTCGCCGCCGAAAGCCGCCGTCCCAACAAAACCGGCGTTCCCGCTCGAGACTTCGTATTGTTTTACGCTGGAGTAGCGCCCTACTCTCTTCAGCATTGGCGCCGCTCCCAGCAACAACAGCAGCCCTGCTCGAGACTTCCCCCCTTTCTATTCAGGGCCAGGTCCTTGCCTCACCGCCGACAGCCCCCATCCCCGCCAAGGCAATCCTGCCGTTCGATGCGTCCTTGTGCTTTACCCTTCGCTGGCGTTCCACTGGCGGTCTCGCATCGGCGCAGCAAGGCGCGGGCATGTGTTTTCGAGGCGGGATATGTTGAAATTTCTCGGAGGAGGTGTTTGCAAGACCTCAGTGGGAGGGATATCTGGGAATGGGAATAACGGACCCCGCTATAGAACAAGAGTCTCCCATTATGTGGATGGTTATCATGATGGTTGCATGCTTCGTGTGGAAACATCGCGCGTGATGGTAAAATGATTGTTGTTGGTGGTGGTGGTGTTGTTGCTGCTGCTGCTGTTGTTGTTGTTGTTGCTGTTGAATGGTAACTACTCAGCAGTTATTCTTGTTGGACACAATAAAGGCTCTTTGGCGCTCTCGCCTCGGCCACGGCTACATGTTCATTGAAAATGAGGCTCACGCTCGAGCGGTCTGGGGGACCGCCAAAACCGGCCCCCCCAACAATAACAACGCTCCCGCTCGAGACTTCCTCCCTTTTTGATCTGGGCTGGTGTTCTTGCTCGCCGCCGAAAGCCGCCGTCCTAACAAAACCTGCGCTCCCGCTCGAGACTTCCTCTGGCGCGCTAGTTGTTCTCTCATCGGCGCCGCCCCCAGCAAAAACAACGCTCCCGCTCGAGGCTTCCTCCCTTTTTTACGCAAGGCGGTGTTCCTCCTCGCCGCCGACAGCCCCCGTCCCGACAAAACCAGGGCTCCCGCTCGATGCTTCATCCCTTCTTACTCAAGGCGGTGCTCCTCCTCGCCGCCGAAAGCCGCCGTCCCAACAAAACCGGCGTTCCCGCTCGAGACTTCGTATTGTTTTACGCTGGAGTAGCGCCCTACTCTCTTCAGCATTGGCGCCGCTCCCAGCAACAACAGCAGCCCTGCTCGAGACTTCCCCCCTTTCTATTCAGGGCCAGGTCCTTGCCTCACCGCCGACAGCCCCCATCCCCGCCAAGGCAATCCTGCCGTTCGATGCGTCCTTGTGCTTTACCCTTCGCTGGCGTTCCACTGGCGGTCTCGCATCGGCGCAGCAAGGCGCGGGCATGTGTTTTCGAGGCGGGATATGTTGAAATTTCTCGGAGGAGGTGTTTGCAAGACCTCAGTGGGAGGGATATCTGGGAATGGGAATAACGGACCCCGCTATAGAACAAGAGTCCCCCATTACGTGGATGGTTATCATGATGGTCGTATGCTTCGTGTGGAAACATCGCACATGAGGATAAAACTATTATTGTTGTTGGTAGTGGTGTTATTGTTGTTGTTGTTGCTGCTGCTGCTGTTGGTGTTGGTGTTGCTGTTGTTGTTGTTGTTGTTGCTGGTGGTGGTGTTGTTGTTGTCGTCCCGCCCGCGACCCACCCGCGACCCACCCCGCGACCCACCCTGCGACCCACCCCGCAACCCACCCCGCGACCCACCCCGCGACCCACCCGCGACCCAACCCGCGACCCACCCGCGACCCAACCCGCGACCCACCCGCGACCCACCCGCGACCCATCCGCGACCCACCCCGCGACCCACCCGCGACCCAACCCGCGACCCATCCGCGAACCATCCGCCACCCACCCGCGACCCACCCCGCGACCCACCCGCGACCCACCCCTCGAGCCACCTTCTAGGGAGGACGTTTACTGAAACGGCCCTGGGCGTTGGCTAAGCAGCCCTGTCCTGTTCGATTCATTCCTTGTGTGCGTTTACTAAACGGCTTCGCTTGTCGGGGTGATTATTCTGGGGTGGATGTTCTTCCGTCTACACCCGCGACCCAACAGCGACCCCCCCGCGAACCATTTGCGACCCACCCGCGAACTACCCACATTGGTTTAACGAAAAAATCGGCGCCTGCGGCGAGCTCGTTGTATATTTGTGAGACTTTGGCGCCTGCGGCGGGCTTCTCCAGAGTCTCGCACACCGCCGACGTCCCCACCGCCCTCTCACTCTCATCCGTATCTGCGGGGTGCGACGCAATTGATTTTCCATAGGTTTCCTGATATGATTTCTCAGACACCCACGAGCATAAGCTCTTAATTTGTTTTTTTTTGTGGCGGTTGTCATTTAAAATTCCGGACACTGGAACCGGAGCTGGGATTCAGGTGTGATCAGAGGTAGTATTTGTTCATATCAGCGTGGGTAGGTCGGCAATCAGCAGGAAGACGGTTCCTA